GTAGTCAGTAGATCTATTGGTGTAACAAGGATTTTAATAGTAAGAAGAGGGCTAATATGACTGAACTTTGTCTGGCAGAGAAACTTGTGGCAGAACTTAGCTGGCGGAGAGGGGGATGGTTCAGCCTCCTATGAGCTAATCCACTAGGTAATTCGAACTCAAATCTGAAAATCAATGCTTTGTTAAAATGATTTCCTCGTATTCTGAATTAATTACTCAATGGTTTATGTGACAGTTGTTGAATAAAAATTGTCAAGTAATGAGAATTGTCATGTATGAAGGCATATGAACGACGCAATAAGCATAAAATATTATAACGTGATTATTCGTTTCAATTTGATACTTGTCAAACTTCTTTTTTTTATCTTTGATTAATATTTAATTTTAACGTCACTGTTACCTATATCGTCTATGGTGCATTGTTCCATTTATCTAATTGACTTTCTTCATTTTTAAAGATCTGATAAACTCTGCAACAACATTGCAGATTCTAGGCTGATTTTTTTCTGCATAGAACGCCTAACCCTAATTCGATCACCAAATTTTATCGTTTTAAAAAAATTTCATAAGTTCTCTCCACAACACTCTGGGATAGAGTAAACATTTCTCTATCTTTTCATCGATTTTATTCAAAAGTCAATTAATTCTTAATGAGCACTAGTCATTACAAAGACACCTATTCAAATTTTTTGTCCGTTCTCTCCCTTTTCTAATTTGATCACTTAATGTAAAATACATGGAGTTTCAATGCATGGTCGAATTAGGAAACGAAAATAGCTGAAGTGATCAAATTAGGAGAGGGAAAGAGCGGACAAAAAATTTGAGTAGATGTCTTTGCAACGACTACTGCTCATCAAGGATTAATTAACTTTTAAAACAACATCGATGAAAAGATAGAAATGGTTATTCCATCCCGGAAATTAAACATTAGCTCAGGTGAATGTTGTGAAGGAAACTTAAGGCCTCCCCCCTCCCCTCAGAAACGAACTTTGTTATTTTCTCATCCGATTTCAACCAAAATTTCAGAGAATGTTAGTCTTGACTAGAATAGCTTATGGTTAAAATATCTCCCCCAAATCTCAAAGATATGCACAAGTTCCAGACAATTCATTACCCTTTACGTGGGGAAGGTTTTCACAATG